AGAGGAAATTAGATATTTTTATCACAAAATAAAAGAGAGTAGGGGGAGTCATAATGGCAAAGAACTATCCTGAAAAGACCCGCAAAACAGGAGGAGGTGGAGGAGAAAGTAATTAGACAGCTGGAGAGGAGAGAGGGAATCTGCCGTGGCTTGATGGAGAATTGCGTACGCTGTGAAGTGGAGTTTGATTGAAGAAAAAATGAAAATCATGAGAGAAAATTGCATTGGCTCAGACCACACACTCATACGGCACTTTGACATCGCAGCACAGAGAGACAGAGAAGGGAAAATGTGCAGCACAGAGAGACAGAGAAGGGAAAATGTGCAGCACAGAGAGACAGAGAAGGGAAAATGTGCAGCACAGAGAGACAGAGAAGGGAAAATGTGCAAAAAGAGATAGTCATGAGTCATGTATGGAGGACACACATATGACGGGACGAAACGGGACGAAAAATATGCTATGCGTCAATGCTACGGCTTGATAGGAGTGAAAATGAGAGAAAAAGGATGAAAGAGGGAGATGGAAAGGAAGGAGAGAGGATTAGAGGTGATATAATGTGAAAACAATCCGCTTCTATGGAGGGACACATCCAGGAATCGCCTAAAGAGTGCTGGCTTAAAATTTATCCAAGACTGCTTCTTCTTAATGCTAAGAGGTGTTAGGCAAAGCTTTCAAAGAAACACTATAAGTCCCCATGTTAATTGCTATAATAAAGTAGACACATTAGTGATTACCACAGCTTTCATAAAAGATTTTTTTTATCTTCATTTTAAATACAGTGCCACATTCCTTAGGATTAGCAATCCAGACAAACTGCAGACCTAAATTACAAATTTTCTTTGGTAAAAGAGATTTCATAATAATTTATTAATCATTTCCCCTAAGTTTACATAATTTAATTGAGGGAAATATGATCAGAAAATGAAACTAAGGAAAACCTGTTTATAAAAAAGATGGAATGTCTTAATGGAATAATTAAAACAAGACAAATGTTACTTTTTTGAAGTCATTATAAGGCCACCTCAGTTGTGATTGTGCTATAGAAATTCTAGTTTTGTATAATGTGACACTAAAAGTCCGGTTTAGGTTACATTGCGTTGAAGTTGGTGCTCCTTGTGGGATGTTACAGAAAATGGTTGTGAAACTCCATGAGAAAAAGAATAAAGACTGCAATGTTGTTGTTTGATATATGAAACCAGGGGAAATTTCTATAACTCATAGAAAACAAAGGTTTTTACCATTGTTTGTTAAATGTGTTTACTCTCCAACCTGTTACAAAAAATTATGCCATTCTCTTGATATGTGAACAAGTCTAGACCAGAAGAACTATAAAGTGTTGTTCCTTGTTTGTCTTGCACATTCAAATCTGTTTTCACATTTTGTCACATTGCAAAAACAAGGTTTAATGTATTTACTGAGACTTTATGTGGTTTATAATGAAGTGAAAAGGAAATGATACGTGGTATGACTATTCAAAATCTAAAAAATGTGGTCTGCAATTGTATTTAACTTCAAATACTCTGATGCATCTAATCAAAACCCAGTTTTCTTTTAAATCATAAATGCCATAATTCATCTGTCAGAACAAAAACACTTTGTGATCAATCAAATTACTAGTTTACAGCACAGAGAGCCTGCTTTGCTTGGATGACATCCTGGGTTTAATCCCCAGCTAAGCTTCACGTTAAACATGTTTAAGAAATAGAGTACTGGATGAGCACAAACAAAAAAAAACAACCCTTAAAAATAGTAATCTGGTGCAAGCAGGCAGATTGAAAACAATATTCTCACTTTCTTCTCTGATTATTGCCGCCTACTGGCAGAGATAGGTATTCGGAAGTGATGATTGAGGTTTCTTCAGGAGGGGATGTAGCTCAGTGGTAGAGCGCATGCTTCGCATGTATGAGGTCCTGGGTTCAATCCCCAGCATCTCCAACTTGCTGGTGTGAAAGTTGAAGTTTAGCTGCAGCTGTTAATTCACTTCACAACATGGATCTTCTGCTTATTTTAACCACAAATCTAAATTTAAATGAAGTTTATTCTGAACATGAATCTCGGATGAAACAGTTAAGAGTCGCAGTGTTGAAGTTTTTATAAATGTTGTGACATACATTTGATAAACTCCAGCTCACTAATGTTGAAAGATCAAACAAAATTAGGAAAAGGAGCAATTCATATGGATTAAATGTCATTTATAAATACAGCTGGTGTTTACTTTAGAGTTTACAAACACTATAAATATTAAAAGCCTTAACAGCAGGGAATGTTTTAAAAAAATTAATCTTATTCTGACTGTGGAAGTAATGACTCTACGTTTTTTATTGCTGTTCCCAGAATTGAGATGTTTAATGCTGTTTGGAAATGACACTGCTGCTACTCTTCAAATGAAGCTCAGCATTATCTGTGTAGCAGCAGGAAGCTGGAGCTGAGAAGAGATGATGGGTATGAGCCAGAAGTGAACATTTCTGAGCCGTTCTCTTCAAGTTCCTGTTGTCTTAGTGCTGACTGTTTACCTTCCAGCTAAACCAAACAAGTTTATTCATGTGAGACTGATGGATGCATTGATGGAGAGCTGATCCCACGAAAAATACACAATGTAAAGATAACCCGTTTTGGAGGCTGCGTAAATAGACCAAAGAATGTGCTTTTGAATTTGGATTAGGCATATGCATCTGTGGGCTAAATGTAAATGAAGCTGTTATAAAAATTAAATGTATCTGACAGAGTGCTGATTTGAAAAAGCTGTTTTGAATAAGCATTTTTTTCCAAATACAGTATGAGGAGGAGGAAGCAAGAGTTAGTTAGCCAGATGAAATGGCTGAATCTCAGAACAACAATAAATTAGGCTTACAATTTATTTTTGTTTCTGCTTTACTGTCACAACCAAATGTTTCAGATCATCAAACAAATTATGATATGTGGCAAATATAACCTAAGCAAATACAAACGATCATTATCCGGAATTAAAAGAACTGCACAAAACAGTTCTTTGACTCTCTTTAAACAAAACTACTGACCCCTACACATAATAACTGGTTGTTGAAAACAATCACCAAACATGGAGAAACAACATTCAATTTCACTGCCTCTCTAATCTGACACAAACTTCCAGAAAACTGTGAAGCTGTTGAAACGCTGAGTTCCTTTATTGCCTCAAATTTTCTGTAGCTGACATGTGCCATACAAACAAACATGCTGTATAATCATTTGGCATATCAAGTGTCTGGTGGCAGATTTTGCCAGGAAACAAGATGAACTTTCACTGGCTGTCAGAGTTCATAGCCTTATGGCTGACCAGTGTGCTTTTGCAGAAGCTATCAATTCGACTGAAGCTACAATTAAAATATTGACAGGAAAAACAAAAACACAATGCATCAGATCTCTAACTAAATTTCTGTCTGCTCTGGAGAAAAACAAACCAACAATGATCTATGGAGCAAATCAGACTATTGGTGATTTTGGATAATTGTTGAGACCAAAAATCTGCTTCACCAAGAAAATTCAGCCTGGAATGAAACTCATTAATCATTTAAGCTTGCCCCTGTTCCCAAGGCCACAGTGCTCTCTGGAGACAATCCGACAAAAGAAATTTATCACTGTTGTTGCCCCGGAAAGTGTTCCTGTCAGTGTGACGGCGTTGCTGTGGATGTCCTACAGCCCTGACAATGACTCGTGCAAAGATTCGTAACATCAACAATGGACCGCGGTTGATCGTTTTTTAGTCTGCAGTCAGGAATGTAGCCCTTCAAGGGTAAGACTTGCAACATTTTTTTCATGCAGGATTTATCCATTTTATGCTCTGCATTCCATCTCAAATTAAAACTCATATTGTATAATTAAGATTTACTGGCAATTTAAATAAATGTCACATGTTTTATCTTCTAAAAGATTCACCACACATTTTTAAAATGCCTTTTCTTTCCAGTTGGCATCTTTCTTGGTTTGAATGTGACAATTCAGATTTCTATTGAAAAGAAAAAGCTAATTACAAATTTCCCAAAACTGTCATTATGCTTCTAATTTTCATGTTAAAAGTAATAAATTAATCTTATAAGTTTAGACCAGTATTTTTATTTTTGAACAGTCACTTGGTGAAAAATTTGGAGTTGATATTTTTTTGTACCTTAACAACAGTCAAGAAAGAATATTTCCAATAAAGAAATATATGTATAAATTTATGTAAGTAGATGTGGTTTCAAACAAAATCCCAGCACCACTCCAGAAAAAATGCCTGTAAACTCCACTAAACCCAGAGTCCATCTCCTTTTTCCACTTCAGTTATTTCAAAAAAAAAAAATATTTATCTGACTGAGAAAAACAACTCAGCAATTCTAATGTAAATATTCTGATACAATAAATAGAAATGTGTGTTTATTTAAGTCGCAGGAGATTTGTGATGTTGGTTTTGCTTCGACTCTCTTGTGCTGTTGATGCTCCCAAACAACACAGTGTCCAGTGACAGCAACAGAAAGGTTTAATGGTTAGAAGGGGGACAAAGGAATACTGATTTCTTTCAGATGTTATGTAAAAAGCAGAGAAGGAGATAGCAATTTTTACAGCGTTACGTAACTGATCGAACTGTGTCAGGCAGGAAAAACATCACAACATCAGTAGTGTGATGGTTTTCATTACATAAACTTTGGGGCAAAACAAACTTCCAGTAAGCTCAATGATTTCCTCATCTCATGATGCACTCAATTCAAAATTCTTTTACTTTTCCTTCCCTTCAAACTATTTCCAAGTCAGTAAAGCAGAACAGAAGGGTGATGATTATGTGAAACAACTGGCAAATAATTGGATGGTAAGAATATCCCACCAACTGTGATAATATCAGTTATGCTGAAACTGTAAAAACATTAGTAATGCCACGTTATGAATGGGTTGAAACAAAAGTGCGTGTGAATGGAAGGGATTTAGATACATTTACAGCTAGCAGCACCAGCACTCGTCTTGCCCATTTTCAAGTATTATCAGTTGAAAATCCTTTATGCGTTTTTACCTTCAGTCATTGTGGCTTCAGGTGAGTGGGAGTCCAGGCTCCAGTCATTCGCTCCAACAATCTGAACAACCAGAAGCCGCCTGAGTGGCACCAGGTCAGCTTCTTTCAGGCCGCTCTCCAACTGATGAATCAGGCCGCGCCCCGGCTGGCTGGTCACCACAGTAATCTGAGAAAACATGGAGACGGACCGCTTATTTAGAAACAATTCAAACTAGATATGTGGTGAAAACATTAAAACAAAAAAAGAAACTCCAAATATAATTTTTTCCTTCTATTTAAAAAAACAAAACTTAATACATTTTACATTTAAATGCTGTAGTACCTGTGCCATACCAAAAGGTAGTGAGTTAAAATGAATTCTACTCGATACGAAAGTAACAAATGTGAACTTCTGAAATTAAAGAAGAAAACAAAGAAAACTCTAAAACAGCTTCATGCTTATTATTCCATTCCTAAAAAGGAAAAGTTTTTTGTTTTTATATCAGAAAGTGAGAAATAGGTCATCAGTCTTTTTATACAAAACGAGTAAATATCAGGTTTCACCAAAATCATGTGTGGATAAAAACTTTTATTGTATTAGTAGATTAGCAACAGGCGTGCTCATGGATAGGGTTATTATGCCTCTGTGCCTGGTAATAGGAGCTATTCATATCGGCTGATGTTGGGAACAGAACGTCCCAGTGTGTCATCCACAAACCACTGCGTCTGGAGTCTGTAAACCATTAAAGTTTAACAAGCACAGATGGGACTGGTTCATCTTTCAACTGACTTTTAACTCCAAATTTAACAACCTGGAATTTTGGTAATTTATAAGATAATTTATCTATACAAACATCATCACAATCAAAAGCTTGAGTTAACTGAAATAAGCTTCTAATGTTTTATTTGTGCAGTGTGTTACAGGGCTTAATGAATGATTATAATTTCACTCTATACTTAGAATGGTTTTGGCCGTTTACACGTCTGCAAATGTCTGAAAATCAGCCAGTGTCTCTTATATTCTGCTGACTGACTGACCCGTCCAATAGGTCACATCTGTATGTGAGCAGATAACAACAGTCATCCCACTGCTGCCCAAATAGTCACTTTCTTGCTATTTTCAGAACCTTTTTAGACAAGAAAAATCAGATTGTCAATCTTTTTAAAGGTTGGTGATCAGCCAAAAAAACTACAATCAGTGCACCACTTGCAATTTTTACAGTGAAACTATGCACGATATGGAAATGTGATTTGTATTGAAAGTGTTACAGGCTCAAATTGCAACAGTGGGGATGTAGCTCAGTGGTAGAGCGCATGCTTCGCATGTATGAGGTCCTGGGTTCAATCCCCAGCATCTCCAACTCCTTTTCCTCAGAGGTGTGTGTGTCTGTAGTTATACGGCATCTTGAAGCATAAATCATGACCTGCAGAATTGGAATTGGACTGAATAATAAAAATCTGAAACAAAATATAGTTTAATTCAAGACAATGAAAATCTATCTACAAGTCTGCCAAAACAAAATTGAGGAAAGGGAAATGACCTCCTTTTCGAAATTTTGTGGGATAAAATCAGTTTCACTTCTAGTCCTTTTCAAAAAAGGGTAAGAAAAAACAGCATGATGTTAAACAGGAGCAAAATTCTTTTCAGATAAAGCAAAACCTTCAGGACCTTCAGGAAAAAGCCGATAGTTCCAGCTCTAAAAATTAAGTTCAACAAAGTTTCTTTTTATGATTTTTCTCACTCGGTTTTTTTTGTTTGTTGAACTTGTGACTTTTCTAAAAGTATGATTCATTGACTGGTTTTCCTCCGCTGATCTGAGAAATTAAAGCCAGCCAGCAGTACACTCAGAGTTCAATAAATCCACTGCAAAAACTTTGCTAGACACCTGGCTTTTTCCAGAAAGTCTCTAGTTCAGAGGAAAAAAAGACTAAGACAGCCTTTATGTACCTCCACAGATGCGTTGCTGCAGGCCTGGTTGCCTGTGCTGGCGTGTTTGACGTACTGCTTAAACTGCTGCAGACTGTCCAACACCGTCTGTCGCAGCAGATCGCCTCCTTTGGCTGCACTTTTAATGCAACTTTCACCTGGAATAGACCTCAGCTCCTCGACGCAGGAATGTAGCCTGGCTAAATTTCCACGAACCTGCTGTAAAGAGAAAACAGCCAGACTGAATGAGAATGGAGAGACAGGCATTAAAACATGCTTTTGTGACGTTCGCTAACCACAAATGGAAGCAGACACTCCTGCTGCCTGCTGATGGCGTAGAGGCTGAGTAGGGGTATCCTGCAGGGTCCATCCAGGCTGCAGGCCAGCGACAGGAAGTTATCCAGGGCATCACAAAGCACAGCGCAAGTGTCTGACCAACCGGGGGGCAATGCCTCCACAATCAGGACCCTTGCTGCTTGACGGGGAAACGAGGAGGACCAAAAGACAAAACTCCCTGTACTGGAAGAACTGGGTTGCCTCTTCCTGTTGTCCATGGGCTCCTGGAAAACAATGTACACAACACACCAAAAATGTGACAAAAATATAATAATATATAATATTAACCAGACTGCAAATGTTATGCATTTAACAAGAGCAAAACATGAATTAAATTAGTTGGAGATTTTAAACGGCATAAAGAATAACAGAAATATAATTATTTTTTGTCCAAAGCATGGTTAAATTTATTGCAATAGTTGACAGAGAGTAGTTATGTATTCAAGTTTCACGTTTGTTTCATCATGTTGCCTTAAATTTGTCCCTGAGTCTCTATGGCAACATTTGCTTGTTAGAGTTTAAACATGAACAAACAAATTCAGACTAAGCTGAATAAGTGGCCAGGTGAGGCAAGCTGGGATAAACACTGGATGAAGAATATCTCAAGGTAGTTTACTTTTTGTTGCCAGGCTATGTCATCATCAGTTAAGAACATGACCAACAAAACACTTCAGCGATCAAGCTGAAAATAACTGACAGATAATATTCTCCACAAAGACTGAGCTCCCACAATCTGTCTTCAACTGAATTTCTGTAACAAACTGAACCACCCATGACGACCACATCAAACATCTTTCACCCTCACACCTTCCACTTGCGTCATCTTTTTTTTTTTTTTTACTCTTCTGTGAAGAAAAAGTAATCAGACTCAGTCCAGCAGAGATGTATGGTCTCTGCAGGTGTGTTTGTATAAGGCAGATGTTGGTTGAAGTGGCTTTTTTTTAAAAATTGGTATTATTGCAGGCTGGGAAATGGTAATAAAATTTCACAGTAGAGGACAATAAATACATGTATGCTTTCTTATTTTATACTTTAAATAGGCATGCTAAAATCGCTCAGTCTGTGGCTGGGACTTTTTGGCCCAATTACTCGATTCATGATTGCATTAATGGCATCATCATTGCCCCAAAAACAGGTTTTTATTTGCTGTTGCTAGCTGCAGTTTCAGATTTTGTCATTTGAGGTCTGATAAACCCGGTTTTAACTGACTGACAAATGCAAGTGTATTTAAACCCAAATATTCTGTTATGTGATGTTTATTATTAATGTTACCTGAAGTTGACATCAGACTGGACTTAAATAAGGCTTATGCTTAACTAATGCATACAAAATTTGGTTTCCATCAAAAATTGGAATTTATATTTGTCTTGATTTCATAATTTAAAAATAAGGCGATATAAATGCCTCCATTTTTCCAAGGCAGAATATTTGCTGTTGCTGCTTTTAAGGTACTATGTCAATAATATGTGTAGTAGCTGGACAATAGTTACCTTTTGGCTGATTAAAATCTCTACTTTAAAACAAACACAACTAACAAAGAAAGAAATAATTTATTAATTTTAATATCTAGAAAACTTTTAAAGAGTAAAGACTTTGGTGTTTTCAGGTAACTTTAAACTGGTTTTTGTGTTAACTGAAGAAATTAAATATTTTAGTCTACTTTCAGACCAAATTATTTAGTTTTTCTATTGTCCCTAGTATATACAGCTACTTTCTACACTATACGAAGAATTTCTATCAAAATAAAGCACCAAAAAGAAAAACAAAACAATGGCAATGCCTACAATTAAAATGTACAAACACTTAGCAGCTATATGTTGTTATCAAAATCAGGTTTGACAGTTATTGGCTTAGCTATTTTCTTTCTCTCGCTTTAGCTTTAACTGTTAATTATCTTATAAAATGAAGAACTGGTAAATGAGCTCCAGCTAAGCACCTTATATATGGAAAGCACCAAAAACAAGTGTTAGCAACTAAGTCGGAAAGTTTTAACTGCTATCTTGAACCTAAAATCTGCTTAGATAGCATGCTAACATTTGCTAGCGCTAACGGTATGCTAATTAGCTTCACCAGCTAGCATCCGGTTGTAATTTATTTCAAAAACTCTTTACCTCTCATTTGGTTCTCTCTGCAACAGTATTAAACTTACATTTACGTTATGTCCCGTTCTTTACATCTGAAATATAATGCTTTAAAAAGTAGAAAAAAAAATATTTAGAGAATTATGAGAGTAGGGGTCACTTAGGCACCAAACTTTTCAAACATTTACCATAAACAATATCCAGCAGAAAACATTGAATGAGTTAGTATCTGCAATATTTATGTCTTTCTATCGATATCTCTCAATAAAAACAGAATTGCAAAGTTTAATCAAATATAAGCACCTTATATATGGAAGGGCTACATGTAAATAAAAATTTTACATGTATTTTATTTACATGTAAAAATAAAAACGAAACAATTCGGTACAAAGGATTGGTAACTTTTATTTTGATAAGAACTACAGATGTGGTAATATAAAAATTTCATGCTGAAGAACGATTTAATAAAATTGATTGATTTGTTTGAAAAGGAGGGAACTTGAGGGCATATTTAATTTTATTTTATTTTATTTTTACGTTTTTCTAAAACAAAAACTCAGAATGCCTTAATATAAGTAAGATGGGGAAAGGAATTTAGATAAAAAATACTCAGTGTTTCAATATTGGATGAAACAACATGCCTGTGCTATGAGTATATTGTTTGAATAGAGGTCAGCAATCACTGGATCCATATTACTGCCATCTAGTAGTAGGAACTATGGACATTTTTCCTAACTTTTCCCATTTGTCTTTAAATAGTATTTTAAATAATATGTTTTATTTTGCTATGAACAACTTAGCAATATCTAACTAACAGAATTAGTCTAACATTAAATACACATATACATTTAAAAAAATCCAAATAATTGTAAAGGCTTAAATTAAGCACTAAAGTGAGGGGATGTGTTTATTTCCCTTTAAATGGTTGAATCCATATTCAACCATTTAAAGGGAAATAAACACAGAATGTGGATTTATAGGTTGAACAACAGAGTTAAGTATGTGGGGCAGCCCCAAGAAAACCTTACCAAATCCTCTTTGCCAATGTCAAACAGTTTATTCTGCTATCCCACTCTTGCTTGGTGTCATTTATTGGGTTGGATCATTTTGGTTTGAAGAACCAGACATACTAGGTTCACCAAGTAGGTCACTCAAAAACAGGGCCCTGACTGGTGTTTGGAAGAACCATAAGCAACCACAACAGTCTGGCACTTTCTCATCATGCTTGTCACTAGCTTGGTTGCACACTGCTGTGGCTGCTATGGCTTCCCAAACCTCAATTAGTTTGTTTATGCTCTTCTCTGTGATGTGAACAGCTCACCCTGCCTGATCCCACAAGGACTTACGGTGGTTGAGGTTTGCAAGCAGGACGTTGTGTCTGATCATTGCACCTCTCCACAATAACACTAATTCCAGTCAAGATAAGACTTGGCTTTCCAGAAAGAGAGATTTCAACCCCCTTCATCAAACTGCCTCCACCAGAAGCTGTCTGGCATTCACAGAGAGGATTTGGCAAGTCTATCCATGGGTGCAACCTACATAGTCAACACTGTTGCTCAGCCCACAAATGTGGCACCATTTAAGAGGAGATAAAGACACTTTCTTACTGCTTAATTACAATAAAGGGGAAAAAAAGATACACATTTCTTTACTATTAATGCCAAGTGTAGTTGTTAGATCATTGTTTCAGATAGCTTAATGAGACACTGTGAGCCTAATTCATTGGATGAGATGTTGACTTCTGTGGGGCTTGAGATTTAACTCCCAGTCTATTGCATCCAGAAGTTTTGGAGGCTGTCACCCCATCAAAAAAGTTCAGACCAAAAACAGACATGTTGATTTGCAAATAAAAATAATTTCTGACGCTTTTTAGAGCAAGGCAATGTGAGGGGAAAAAATACTTTTGAGTCTTATTCTATCCCACATTCATCTGTTTGGCTTCTTTCATCTTTTCAGATGAATGGAGGGAAAAGATCAATGAGAGGCCAGTCACTGCAGCAGACTAAGAGAGCAATATGAAAATCTGCTCCTGATAGTCGACCTACTTGACTGAAGTGCTTTCTATTCCTCACGGCAGCTGAATATGTGTGAGAGATAGAAACCTTACAATCTGCTTGCAGAATCACAACCTAATCAGTGTCAGTGAGGAAAAACTCAACTTTGCTGATGAATATGAATGGGTATCAAGGGATTTTGTAATTGAAGTGCTGCATGGTCACAAACCCTCTGCACGCAGTTTATGCTTTGTTGGGGTTAATAAAGTTGTCATGAAGAAATGTGGAACATAAACATCTGTTTTTGGGAGATAACTCTCTGCACCTGGCAGAAACCATTTCCCGATGTTCCTTTTTACCCACTGGTGCTGATTTGTAAGCCTTGTACATTTCTACGTGAGGGCGTGTGTGTGTGTGTGTGTGTGTGTGTGTGGCTTCTCAAAGGCACTGGCAGTTCTCCATAATGGACCCCTCTCTTGATTTCTTCTTTTTCCTCATCAGAAGTCCTCATCATGCCTCTGCCTCTCACAGGTTTCCTCTTTCTTTCATTCACCCACCTCTCTCAGAACCTTCCTGTCAGACCACAATTCTCTATTTTTATCTCTAACGTGTATATCAGGCACATGATTCTTGGCAGGATACGCGGTCCTTACTCTTTGGATTTCCACCGAAACGAATGGGGAACATTCAGTCTCAAATCCAAGGCCTCTGTAAAAAGGATTAAGTGCTGCAATATGACTGGAGCTTAATCATTCTTACACACCGACACACTTTTGCAAACTCACACTCAAATAATGAAATGCATTTGTGGATGTGCTTTCTAATTTAGTTGTGACAAACACATACTTCTGGGTCAAAGGGAGCTTTACAACAGTGAGCTAATCCGCCGTTTCTCTCTGATTGACTCTGGGGAATTGGTGGAAACTTTGCTCTGTAGTTTGAGTGATTATTTTGCACACTAGTTGGTTTTTTCCACTCCATCTTCTAGAGTTCCAGGAGTCTTTTCAATATTAGTTCTGGTTAACTTATAAAAATGTAAGAGATTCAGAGGAAAATAATTTCAAGTCAAGTCTGTTTTTTTTTCTTTTTCCAAAGTTTTGGTTCAGTTCCTTCGGATTTGAAAACGGGCAAGAAATGAGAAAATCCCCAAGTTTATCCAGATAGTTTTGACTAAAGAAGACCAGCAAGAAGCTGATTAAAGACAGAAATGTAGTTTTGCAACTTTTTATACAATTGTCTTACAGCTCATTTCAGTATTGAATCTTTTCACCATCAATTTCCAAAAATTATTTCCCAATCTCACCTACTTTATAACAAAATTTGAAAAATATGTACATGTTTCAAAGCAAAATGTAAAAAAACAATCAAAACGGAACTGTTTCTTTTCGCTGCATTGTCAAATGACTTGTTCTGTCCACCTTGTTAAAACTTGGATTTGCAGAAACAAATACTCAAACGCGGGTTTAGAGTAAAGTAGCACTTTCAAATAATTTACTTACACAACACAACATGGATACAAGAAAACTGCTATTCAACTAAATTTACCCAAATCTACAATCAGAGGTATAATTTAACAAAACAAATCACAACAAAATACAATAAAATAACTGATACAGTGATAAACAAAGCTGGACTCAAACTCCAGGCACAGCGCTGTGAAGACAATGGTAGAAGAGGTAAAAAATATACAGAAGTGCAGCATTTTTCTAATGCAGGATTATTCTGCTGCAATAAGAGTCATTCATTTTAGAGCTTTTAACAAAGTGCTGCCATTGAACTATTTCAAATGTTTGCTTTGCATACTCAGGAATTTAAAAGGAAAGCAGGAGACAGGTGAGTTTTCCCAGTCATTTCTGGATTCAGACCAGCGGTGGCTGACAGTAAAAAAAAAAAAAACACTTTATATGTACAAAATATGTAAAAGCAGAGGGATTAGAACTTTGTTCTCTGTGAGTGCTTATATAACTCTTGTTGTAACAAATGTGTGTGTGTGTGTATTTTCAAAGTAGAGATTAATTCTTTGCGTTTCAAAACTAATCTTGGTGGGAAAATTAGTTCCTGGAATATTTTTGTTGGTGTTTCTGGAAGGCAAAGCCAGATTTGTTTACTCTCAGGTTTTACTGCGATGTAAAGCTCCTGTGCATAAAGCTGCTCTTTTCCACAGGGGTGAATAAAAGTTTATATTCTATGCATGCCATTCTTTTTATTTATTCTTACAATTAATGACTTCTGACTATGTTGATGTTGTTTTCTTGTTTGTTTAGTCAGAAAGGTTTTTTATTTATGAGAAATTTTTAACTTCGTGGTTTGAATTGATTGAAGGAAATTTAAAATCTGCTGTGACTTTGTTAAGGCAAAACTTTCAGCCTGTAAAGTAAAACACAAAGAATACGACATATGTTCTATTCAGAGTGTGGTCACATCAAAAGCTACACAGATTCTTCAAAGACATGACAAGACTTTGTAGAAAATAAAAATATTCTTTGTTTTCTCACCTTTAGAAGTGAGTAGCACTCATTTTTCAATTCATACCAACATAAGAAACAGTGTGCCAAAAGGCTGTGATAAAACAGGGGAATCTCAAAGTGTACAGCATGCATTTGAAGTCTAAGAAATCAAATATATCAGGCTGCCAAAACAAAGTCGGGTCAGTGGTCAAAGATTAAATGTTAGATCTTTGGTCAAAGTCGCCTGTGAGCTAGATTTAAAAAAGCATTCAAACAAAATTTATCTTCTCTCTAAAATAGGACTCAAAAAATAAATCTTCAGCAGTTAACAAGATTCGTCTTGATCTAATTATTCTCCTCTACTGTTGCTGGAAAACACAAGCCAAAATCTGGTGGCTTTGTGTTTGGCTTTGAGACATTTGAGGCAGGTATTTCTTCCCCGTCGAGAATCTGGATACCCTCCATGGAAAGGCCTTGGTTGTTAAGTCAATGCTTCAGAAAACCTGAATTCCACAAAAGTTTCTCTTTGGCCGCCACTGACAAGTTCTTAACTCAAAATAAAGAGGCTCTTGGGAATCGAAGTGCACGACTTTAATGCTGAGCTACTCCAGAGTGACAAGCAGCAGACAGAAGTGAGTTATTTCCAAGTGACAACCAGACTTTCCAACAACCATCAAATAAAACGAACCCAGTTCAAACCACTCAACTGGGAAATAAAAAGACCAGTCAACAAGATGTCAGCAACCCCATCTCTGAGAAATCAAG